GCTGGCAATTTAAAATGGTTGCTTATTAGCTTGGCAAAAAGTAAAATAAAAAATATACATTTTTTTAAAGGTATGGTGAAGTAAGCAGGCTCATATACTGGAACTAGAAATTGATGTGGTTTTTTTAGGAGGGATCCAAGCCATTTTTACATGTAAAACAAGATGTAGAGAGCAATACGTACTTTTATATTCTGGATGTACTTTTGTAAGAATACACATCAATCTGTTAACAGTGGTTGTTGTGGGACAGTTGGGATTGTTCATTAGGGAAACACTTTCACTTTTTACCTTATGTACCTGTATTGTCTGAATTTATATGACCACTTAAAAATATATATATATTTTTTTTATTGATCTCAGAGAGGAAGGGAGAGGGAGAGAGTTAGAAACATAATGACGAAAGAGAATCATTGATTGGCTGCCTTCTGCATGCCCCCCACTGCGGATCGAGCCCACAACACAGGCATGTGCCCTTGACTGGAATCGAACCCGGGACCTTTCAGTCCACAGGCCCACCCTCTATCCACTGAGCAAAACCAGCTTGGTTCACTTATTTTTTTTAAATCTGCAAATGAAGATTTTAAAAAGCTATTTAGCCCTGACTGGTTTGGCTCAGTGGATGGAGCATCGGCCTGTGGACTGAAGGGTCCCAGGTTCAGTCCGGTCAAGGGCATGTACTTTGATTGCGGGCACATCCCCAGTGGGGGATGTGCAGGAGGCAGCTGATCAATGTTTCTCTCTCATCGATGTTTCTAATTCTCTATCCCTCTCCCTTCCTCTCTGTAAAAAATCAATAAAATATTTTTAACAAAAAGCTATTTAAAAAAATAAAAGCTAGTTCAGATATTTATTCATTTAATCTCTCATTGAACTAGAAGCAAAAGGGCCTAGTAGGAGATAAATTATTTTTAAAAGGAATAAGCAGCCCTGACCGGTTTGGCTCAGTGGATAGAGCGTCGGCCTACGGACTCAAGGGTCCCAAGTTCAATTCCGGTCAAGGGCATGTACCTTGGTTGCGGGCACATGCCCAGTGGAGAGTGTGCGGGAGGCAGCTGATAGATGTTTCTCTCTCATCGATGTTTCTAGCTCTCTCTCTCCTATCCTCTCTGTATAAAATCAATAAAATACATATATATTTTTAAAAGGAATAGCAATGAGTTATATACTTTAAAATGGTTAACAGTGGATTTATGTTATGTAAATGTTATCTCAAATTTTTTAAAAAAGGAATCAGATTTTAACTCCCTTTTCATCATGCCCACTGTTCACACCCTATCGATCACTCTCACAAATCTTGACTGGTCATCTTTAAACCCATCCTTCATAGTGTTGCCAGAGATGCAAATGAAAATCTGAAAACCTTTTCACCTTTTTTGCAAAGTATAAAAGGTTTTCTGTAGCCTGTACCTGGTCTGCTTTTTCCAGTCTCATCTCAGTCCCAGCTTCTCCTGTGCTAGTCATATTGAATTCCCTGACTGCCTTGATCGTCTGTACTCTGTGTCTATACTTGCTGGAATTCTGCTGGAGAATCTCCCTTCTCACTCACCCCACCCCCTTTCCTGAGGTTTCCTACTCTTCAAGTCTTAGCTCAAACATTACTTTTTTCCTTAACTAAGTTTTTCCTGGTTCTTCCACATGAATTGAGATCATTTCAGCACATTGTATTATAATTGTTTATATACCAGTCTTTCCCATTAGACCAGTGGTTCTCAACCTTCTGGCCCTTTAAATTCAGTTCCTCATGTTGTGACCCAACCATAAAATTATTTTCGTTGCTACTTCATAACTGTAATGTTGCTACTGTTATGAATTGTAATTAAATATCTGATATGCAGGATGGTCTTAGGCGACCCCTGTGAAAGGGTCATTCGACTGCCAAAGGGGTTGCGACCTACAAATTGAGAACCGCTGTATTAGACTGTGAGCATCTTGAATACACACACTTTTAAATTAATATCCTTTCCCTAGCAGTGTCTTTCAGAAAGGTCCTCAGTAAACATCCAATTAATTCATTAACTGTGTGCATAGAATGACAAATCTGTTCTTTCACTTGCAGGTTTGTTTCAAATTCTAAAATTGGATTTTCTCATCAGTAGGCAAGGGATTAATATCGGCTGGTAAATGTATTTTAGTTTTTACCCCTTTACTCTCTAATTGAGGATGTTTTAGGCTTTTAAAAAAGATTATGGTGATACTAATTAGAGACAGTTTAAAAATATAGATGTTCTATAGTGGAACACTTAGGTTTTTTGGTCCATATTTGAAAATTTTATTTTAAAAAATCCCAGGTCTCTCTACCAGAGTATATTTGGCTTTTAATAGAGGGTAATGTATGATCCTATAATCAAAGTATTATTTTTTATTTTATTTTTATTTTGAGAGTAAATTTATTCTTATTTTTTATATGTTTTTATTGATGTGGGAGAGAGAGAAAAAAACATTGATCTGCCGACTTCTACACAACTCCTATTGGGGATCAAGCCTGAAACCCTGGCATGTGCCCCTACTGGGAATCGAACCTGCAACCTCTCAGTGCATGGGACAACTCTAAACCAACTGAACCACACCGGCCAGGGTGAGAGTACATTTATTAAAGCTGGGGACAGTGAAATAAGGAAGGGCTTAGGATAGAAGAATTGACAGAAGAGAGACTAGGTGGGCTGCTTTGGTTCTCTAGAAATATTATAGGAAAGAAATGAGTCAAGATGGGCTGCTTTGGCTCACTGGAAAGTCAGAGAAAAGGGGCCTTGGAGACAGGTTCAGGGGGTGAGCCTGGGATGAGCTGCTGCTGCCCATTGTTTCCCTAGTAGAAAGTCTCGTGGGCACCCTTAGAGTTTGGGAGATGCACACCTGAGAGGGAAGAAAGGTGCGGGCATGGCTCCTGGGAGGGAGAGCTTGCCCAATTTATCTTTTTTTTTTTTTTTTTTTTTTAGGAAAATACCTTTATTATTTTTGAAATGTTCCAATATTCAATGTAAAAACCATGATAGTGGCTTTTTCACTTCACAAATTATAGAAAATTAGTTTCCCCATTCCTTAGAGAACCCCCCCCCCCCCAACTGCATCCCCACCAATAAGACGGCTCCATTATGGCTGAAGCAGGGCAGGGAGGAAGGGCAGAGAATACAGCAAGTAGAACCAGTCGGGCACGGGGTTACAGCTGCAGCAGAATGCTGTTTGTTGATTTGAGAAAACTGAAAATGTTTTGTACTTACAAAGGTGGATGGAATTCAAAAACCGATCCCCACCGATTTTTATGAGAAACATGACTATTCCTCTTGAGCGTCTCAAGTCAAAACAAATCATTCCCACTACACATTTCCCGCCTCCCAGAAGGCATTAGAAAAAGGGCCAATGTCCGCCAGGAGCGATTGTAAACATACCACTGACAGCTTGGACACTTTGTTTTTAAATGCAGCAGGACTTTTTCCTTTGGCCCTGATGGAAAAGCCAACTCCCTAGGGCTGTTTAGGCAGGAGCAGACAGGAGGGCTCCCCAAAACCTATGAGTGAAGGCCCAGTGGTCCCCGTTGGCTGGAGCATCATCAAAGGCAATCGATACCTTTATGGCATATGAAAATTGTCCCGTGGTCCCCAACTGGCCCCCAGGTTCAACCTGGCTGGATGCGGGGCATGGGAGGCACAAAACAAGGCACATGGTTGAGGTGGTCCCTACACCAGGCCCAGAAAGATGATCTCTTCGCACGATTCCAAAAGTGTTGGAAAGTGGAGCAGCAGCAGCAGGTACAGGAATATCATGACCGTAAACCAATGGCTGGAAAACCAGGACAGCTGGCTTGAAGCCCTCTTGGCCTGCTTCTGTGAGTACACCAGCAGGTACTTCACTCGCAGGAGCTGGTTGTTGGTGACCACAAAGTACTTTGGAGGGATGTCTCCCCCTTCACTGTGCTTGATTCTCGCTCTCCTGCGATCTATCTCCTTGGAATCTTT